GTAAAGAACTGTGTGTGGGTCCCAGCCAAATTAACTAGGGTTCAGGGCAGAACTCCAGTTCCAGGAGGGAGAAAGGGAAGGATGAACAGGAACTGGGGCAGAAGCCCAGATATTAAACAAAGCACACAGATAGCCAGGCCCATCTCCAGCACGTGGGATTCCATGCTCACACCTGCAGGCTTCCAGAAGCCCATGACTGGCTTTTGAAGAAGAAACAGAAACACACCATGTGGATGAGGGGGCAGAATGGAGAGGTTATCAAGCACTTACAAAGACATGAAGAGACTAGTGGGGAATGGCAAGTTAATCAATCAGACTAGCATGAGTAGAGTTGCCAGATAAAATGGAGGATGCTTATTTAAATTTGGAATTCAGATAAATAATGAAAGCCTTTTAGTGTAAGTATGTTCCATGCAATACTGGGGACACATTTATACCAAAAAATGTTGCTTATCTGAAATTTAAATGTAACTGGGCATCCTGTATTTTTATTTACAGAATCTGACAACCCTTACCTGTGGGTGTTATGAAGGATGAGGTGGGAAGGCTTTGGCAGAGCAAGATCAGAAACGATCTTGTGTGCCATGCTTGGCAGATAATGGGGAGCCATGAAAGTTTTTAAGCAGGAGCATAATATAATCAGATTTGCATTTTAGAATCAACTTTTGGAGAACAAAACAAGAGTTGAGAAAGTCAGGAACTGAGAGACCAGAAAGCTGTTTCAATAGCCTAGACTCCAGGAGTATTGAATTTAATTTCGTTCAGTTCACAATTCGGCCGAGTGCTAGGGAGATTCCAAGGTTCAATCAAGCTGAAGAGACCAATCTTTTCCTTTTTCAAGAGCTGTTCTTTGTTTTGAGGAACAAAGAATGTTCTGAAGGTGGGGTATATTTTTTGCCTTGCCCAAACCCTGTGTCAATCAAATCCTTCTTGAGGGTGCTGTAAAGATAAGGTGTGCATATCAATCCCCTGCTAGTAAGCTCAATGTCTTTTTCACCACTGCATCCCCAGTAGGTAATCAATAAACATTTGTTGAATGAGTCCCTTAAGGACAAAGTCTATGTCTTCCTCATCTTTGTTTCTTTAGCACCTGACCCAGGGCTGGGAATAAGTTTCTCAGAAAATAGTTCTTGATTAAAGTGGTCTAATTAATTAACAACCAGAAGTGCTTCCTATTAACTACACTTCTCCAACATTATTTCAAAGGTACAATCCAGCATAGTTTTCACTCGAATGCAAAAGAAGCCTGCCTCTTACATTGGACCAGAAAACTGTTTTCAAAAGCTGCAGAATCATAGATTGGATGGAGTTTTAAGGGTAATCTTCCTTGTGTATGTGAAAATGTGAGGGTTTAGGAGTGTGTGTGTGTGCGTGTGCACGTGCGCGTGCGCGTGTGTGTGGCATTTTCCTAATTGCTTCCAGAAGCTTTGTCTTTGCTTGGGTATTAGTGAAGCTAGATCTTAAGTAAATGCTTCTCGGGTAGATCATCATAAAGTGGTATGAATTAAGTGTTTGTCTTCCATCTACCAGTATCAGTACAGTTACTTCTGCATGTATTTTTCCAAGGCTGAAGTGTGAACTTCTTGAAGGCAGGACTTCATAGTCACAGAACTTTCACTAATACTAGGTTTGTTGAATTTTCAAGAGCAGGAAGCCAAAAGGGAAAGAATAATTCTAGGAAGCACATGGGATTAATAAAAATACAATTAAAAAATTATCACAGTCCCCCATTAGTGGAGATTATATTCCAAGCATCATACCAGGGTGGGGGCTTTACATGTATTTTTAAAATTCTGATGAAATTTCAATCCTAAAACCTTCTCTTTGAGGTAGGTGACATTATGCTTGTTTTCTATTTCTTTATACAGAATCAGAACTGATAAGAAACTTGCCCAGCTAATAGATTAGCAGGGCTGAGATCAGAACCTAATTCCAAAGTCCAGGCTCTCACACATCGGGAGTTGTCATTGTTTTAAGTGTGTATGGGAGAGATGAAGAATATTGTTAGAGTGCCTATAAGAGCTCTACTTTAATCAGCAACCATGTAGTACTCCAGAGGACTAAAGTTTGATCTTTGTAATGATGTGTGAGTATACATGTGTGGAAGAAATATGGAAGTATTTTTTGTATTTTTTATTTATGTTCCTTTTTTCTCTGTTCACCTTTGTACTTAAGGGAGCACATGCTTTTAAATATAATTAGGCGGCATCTCCATCTTGTTGGAAGGTGATATGGTTACATTTAAAATTATTACCACACTCTTACTATCCAGGATGAAACATATGGACTTTAGATGTTACCATCAGTAATAACAACTTCATTTGCCCCATCCAAAGGAATACTTGTAGTTCATGTTCATGTATGTGATCGAACCTCATTGATCCAGATGTGTATGAACTCATCTGTGGGACAATCCAGACCCTCCGCTGAGCTGTCAATATGATTGCATGCATCAGTTATTCTCCAGTCTTTTAAAGCTGCGAATGTGCACTCTTTGTCCAGGTGCTGAGATCTTTTCAGCAACCCTCTTCATACTGCTCAACTGCCTGTGTTCCTCGCTGAGGAGGGTTAGTTAAATCGAAGTTTAAACTTTGCCAACCTTTTGGAGCCTAAGAAAGCAAAAGTCAAAAGGCAAGCGATGGCATAACTAATCACACGAATTAGAAGGAATTTGAAGAGGAACCAAACAAGGTAAAAAGAGGGGAGAAAGCAGTTGGTTAAAAAAACAACAACAACAATGGAATAAACAAATTATGTTTTGCTTGGCCTCTGTAAAGTAGAAGGCTGCCAAAAATGGTCTGCAAAGGTGTAAGAATTGAAAAGCATCTTCAGTGTTCTGCCTTCACCAGAAATATGGAAGGAATTTCCTAGAGATGGTTAGGAAGGAATTTCGGGGGAAGAAAAATCCTCATCAGGCCTTAATTTGCTTATTCATTGCCAAGCAGGGTGGGAGATACAAAATGAGTATGGCATGGCCCTGTCCTCCAAGCTTACCCTCCAGTTCAGGGAGATACATCAACTGTTACATATGCTGAAGTGTGAAAGGCACCATGAAATAAATATAAAAAGAAAACAGTAGGTGGACAAACGGGCAGTGATCTACTCTGTGAGTCTAATAAAAACAATTCATTACAATCATGTAGGGCTGTTCAGTGAGATGACCAACTCTCATTGGGAAGAGTGAAATGGAATCTGAATTAACAGGTATAGTTGAGTCAAAAACACAAGAAAGGGGGTTTTGAAGAAGCAATCAATTCACACCAGTCCCAAGAAGGTAATGATCTGGTAAGTGTTCTCCATCTTTAATTTCTAGGATATCAATCTTACAAAGCAGAGTTGCTGCCAGACGTTACCATCCCCCACCCTCCATCTCCACCCCTCCAGCAGAGCTATCAGGTGAACTGCGCTCAATCCAAGCTCCGCCCTAATTAAATGTGTGACCTGGAGCAACTTGCATCACTACTCACGGTCTCGTTTTCTGCGCCTGTAAATCGAGGAACCCTAGTCGATTGTAAAGTCCATTTCGGCAGTGAATTGTGAAATTGAGACAAGAACCCAAAAAGGAAACTCAAGAGAAACAAAAGTGAAAGTGCCCAAAGGAAATGCAGTAGTAAACAAAAGTACAAAATTTTATATCTCACTGAAAAACGTGGCAGAGTTCCCAAATACTTTGTTTTCTTCAGCAACCGTGAACACGAGACTTGGGAAAGAATGAAATGTCTATCACGCCCTCCAAATATGAATACGATCAGTGTAACGCGAATCCACCTTGCTGCATGCAACTGTCTTCTTAAACAATGCACCCTGGCCCTGAACCACCACTTATTAAAAGACTTCTTACAAAGTAAATCAAGCTATGATGAATGGTCCGTCGCCACATAACCCCCCCCCCCGGAACACCACACAAGGGTGTGTCTCGCTTTGGGAAGAGAGAGAAAAGGGTATAGAGAAAGGAAGAATTCGAACCAAGATTCTGCCTAGCGTTGCCACGCGGTTGTCATAAACAACAGCATGGAAACAAACTATCTTAAAACACAGGAAATTCGGTAGCCTTTGAACTTTATTATTTCCTCCGTTTATGGTGAGACTTCCCTGAACGTAACCCAGAACCTTACACCCGCTTAAGAGCGAGGGTGCGAACTCCGGGGTGAAGAGCAAGTGGAGGGGCCAGAAGGGACCAAGCTGACAGCTTCGCGGAGCATTTGCAGCCAGTGTGGGACCAGGACGGGCGACGCCAAGCCTAGAAGGGGGGCGTCCACTGGGCTCTCTGTATGGGAGGATGCTCCCTGTCCGCTGTGGGAGCCTCCCTTCTTGGAGCCGAGGCGGGAGGGGGAAACGCGTGCGCGCGCGCGTGCACACACACACGCACACATCCTTCCCCTGGAGTTGTGTCTCGTCTCCCTTTTGTTTTTCTCCCTTCCCGGTCATGAGACCCGGAAGTTTTTTTTTTTTTTTAAACCTGTCTCTCTCCCTTTTCCAACACCCCCCCCAATCTATCACATGGCAGAGATAGAATAAAAACAGAAAAATGGCGACGGTCACGTTGTGGCGAGCCTTGCTGCGTCATTAGATAATCCTCATGCAAATAGCGGGAAGAACAAAGGAAGGGGGGGCCGGGACCCCCCGGGGGCGGCAGGTGGGCGTGGGGGCGGCGGGCCGGGCGCGGGGGCGGCCGGGCGCGCGCGGGACCGGGAGCCTGCGGGCGGCGAGCGGCCGCGCGGGGCTCCGTGCCGCCGAGTGTCTGTGTGCGCGCCCGTGCGCCGCCGCGGAGCAGTGGCCGCGGCGCTCCTGGCACGGTTTGGCGGCGCGCCGGAGCCGGCCGGGGGCGCGGGAAGCGGCGGGGGCGACGAGAGCCGTTCCGGCGAGGCTGGTCGCGGCGCGCGCGCACACGCACACGCAGCCTCGGGGCTCGGCCGCCTGGGCGCCCGCGCGGGGGGGCGGGCCGAGGGCGGGCCGGGTGGCGGCGGGGGCCGAGGGCGCGCCGCTGTCCGGCGCTGGGCGCCTGCCCTCAGCCGCCTCCCCGAACCGCAAGCAGTTCGCCGCCGCGGAATAGGCAGCGGGCGCTGGGGCGGTGGCACGGGGCGGGCCTGGGGCTCCGCACTCCCTCACGGACTTCGAGCGTGTGTTACCCGCCTGGGTTTGTTGTGGAGGTGTGTGTGTTTTTCCGGTGGGGTGGGGGGGGCGGCCTCGCCCGGGGCATCTCCGCGTTTGCCCTCGGGCCCTCGCCAGGGTGTGAGGAGCGGCGCAGTTTGGACCAGGGCGCGGGTGGCCCTCGGCGCCCGGCTCCGGCCCCTTGGAGGGGGAGCGGCGCGGAGGGGCGGGGTGCGTGTGTAAATGTTGCGCACTCGCTTTTCCCCCCACCCCCGCCTTCTTCCAGGGTGCTGGCGTGGGTCCCTCGCCGTCCGGCGGCGACTGTAAATAGAGCCTGGATGTTGTTTACATGAAGGATCCGGCGGGAGGAGTCTGCGAGGAGGAGGCGGAGGAGGAGGGAGGGAGGAGAGAGGAAGAGCGGAGTCCCCGCGGCGGCGGCGGTCCGGGGTGAGGGGGAGCCCCGCGCGGCGTCCGGGGACCGGGAGCTACCACGAGGCCGGGACGCTGGACCCTGGGGTAGGAGGGAGAATGGGCGGAGGGGGGGGGTCTGTCAGTGTGGCATTTTTAGCTTGCAACCTGCCACACGCACATTCTGTGGGGCTCTCGGAGGGGAGGGGGTGTGCGGGGAGGGCGAGGAAGCCTCGATTTCTCTGTACGTTCTTTCTCCCGTCCCCAATCTTTTCCCGCTTTACAACGGGCTCACCTGTTTATTTCCATCATCCAGAGTGTGCAGTTTTTTATGTAGGCATGAGAGGCTGTTTCTTTTATTAGAAACATTATTGGGGGGGGGTGCGTTGTTGTAATTTCTGCCGGTCCTGTTCGGTTTTCAAGAAGGGGGAAGGGACTTGGCGGAGATCGCCTGCTCCTGGTCGCAGCTGAACCCGCGGCTTCTTCCTGCCTTCCCGGGCCAAGGAATCTTTTCACTCACTCAGCCACCCGCGCGCGAGCTGCCACCTTCTTGGAGAAGGACCACACCTGTGCTTATTCTCGCTTTGGAGGAGAGGTAAGCTGAAAAACCAGAGAATCTTGTGTTCCCCAGGGTTCTTAGCTAATCCCCCATCCCAGAATTGACCAAAAGTGTTGCTTTCACCTGCCAATTGCACCAGGCACATCCATCCCGGATCCAGGCAAGTTGTGGTCTACAGATGTGCTGGGATTTTCTCTTCCCTCTGGACTTGCACCCCGCCAACCAGCAACTAACTGCTGGATTTAGATTGAGAGAGGTGATCTCTTTAGGTCAGTGCCGTTATTTGTTCCTTACCAGGTATTCTAATGGAATTGTCTGCTGTCTCCTGACAGCCCCCTTTTTTTCTTTCTCTAAGAGCTTAGCCCAGAACCCGGCCTAAAGCAGCCTGTCTCTGGCTCTCTTTTCCTGGGCCCCACCCTGGCCCCTCTTGGTTCTACAGAGCCAAACACGTCTCCCAAGCAGAAGACACACCCAGCCCCAAATCCAACCATTCCAAGAGGGAGGAGAAAACAGTGGACCCAAGGGTCCCCTTTCTGTCCTTAATATCCCCAACAGCATTTTCCTCTTCAAACCTAGGTTTATAATCCCTTGATTCTTCTCACCAGCTGCCCTTCTTACCCTTTTTGTCCATAGACCTTTGATAGATATTTGGGAAGGTGGGGACGAAGAGTGGAGAAGGAGGTTGTCACCTTTCTTCCCTAGAGTGAGGCATTTTCCATCTCCTCAGTCTTTGCGTTTTTGAGTAAAATACGTTTGCATGCTTATTTGAACTTGTTTTCTTGCTGGTTAAATAATAGCTGGGACTCACAAGGAAGGGAAGGGAAAGGAAAGAGATGAAAAATGAACATCACCCCCCTCTCGGGTTCCACCATATGAGCATCCCCAGAGTTGCTGAAGACCCTTCTGTAAAAGCCAACAGCCTGTCTTTCATGACATCACCACCTAAACCTTTCCAACTTTAGCTTCAGAACAGGAAGAACGCTCAAAATAGAACTATCTTAGGAATCCAGCTCCTTTAGAAGATCAACTTTTAAATCAGCTGCAGGAGAAACACTGAACTTTGACATAGGGAGGGAAAACTGAAGTGTTTGTAATTGGTTCCTTTGGGGAAGAGTAGAGGGGATACTTTCCATGCATGTTCAGAAAAGCTTTTCTCAAGGTAACTTGGGTACCTAGACCAATGAATGATTAATAGGATGGTTGGGGATTCATTTATTGAATTATTCATATGTTTCGGTATGTCAACAATAACCAGCATTTTTCAGAATGAAGAGGGGCTCCTGGAATCTGCTCTAAAGAGTATAAAGGAGGTTGTGGAGGGAGGCTGGGAGGGAGCATTTGAGGAAGGTGAAGAATCAGGATGCAGGGACAGCTGCTGTGAGTGTGAAGTTCAGAGGCTCATCATAAACAATGTGGGTAAGTTTTGCGGGGTGACTAAGATCCTGGACAAAGAAGTAACGATGTCAGGATTTTCTACCTTTACTTTGGAACCGAACTGCGTATCTGAATTTCAGTGTCTCCATTCTTTTCTTGAGTTGAGGTGTACCTTTCTCTCTGAGCAAAAAGCATTGTTCAGTCTCTGGGAAGGGCTGCTTAATTAGTGATCATCACTAAAGTATTGACAACTTAAGGATTAGCAGTGGGGCAGAAAATGCTTGGCATCATTTGTGCACCTGGTGGGTGTTGTAGAAGGACTTGCTGGTTGAAGAGGGTAATATCTTTCAGTCTGGTTCAGGTTTAAAAGAATCCAGGTGACAGGATTGTCTGTAACCTCATTAATACGGTAGCCAATGTGTTGCTGTCAAGCACCTGAAATCTGGCTACGATAATGAGCTGAATTTCAAATTTTAGTAAATTCTTAAAATTGATACTTGATGCAGTTATTGGAAAACTTAAATATGTTTGGAAACAATTTGGACATATGCATCTACTTTTTAAACTGTAAAACGGATGAAATCTAAATATAGGTTAAGTATTTCTGATGAAAATCTAGAGTTTGAATTGAGTGAGATGTGTTGTAAGTGTAAATTATACCCCAGTTTTCAAAGATTTGGTATAAAGAAAGTAAAATATCCCGAGTTATTTTTATATTGATTACATGTTCAGATGATACTATTTTAGGTATATGGACCTAAATGAAAATATGTTAAGGTTGATTTAATCTGTTTTAAATTTCTTTTTAAATATGGCTGCTAAAGTATTTAAAAACATATGCATGGCTTGCATTTTACTTCTCTTGGACAGCACTGGCCTGTAACATCGCTCCTTTTGGTCGATGGATTAATTTCAGAAGAGGTGACTGTGTACAATCTCTGCTTTCCTTTGCTGTTTTTCATGTGGAAGTTTGGGGATCCCAAGAGTCATTATTTTAGAACATGAGACCTAATAGTGAATGCTTTGCGTATTTCTATGTGAGAGGCATGCCCTACTCAGGAAGGTCGATAAAAGTTTGTAGGGAACTAGAAAGGTTAGTAGGGGTGTCATGGGAAAACTTAAGATACCCACACATCTAGCTGTAGCTGCTTTTGTAAAAGGCTCCTGGGCATGCCAAGCTCTATCAGAGAACAGTAGGTGACACAGTAACTATTGTGACACCTGGTGGCATATTAGTGATACCACTCATGTTTTCTCTTACTCCTTCATTTACTTTCTCTTCTCCACCCCCCCCATGCCCCCACCCCATCATAGCTCCACTGGTGGTAATTGGGCCCCCAAGGCTGCTGACCCCTTGTCTCCAAAAAAAAAAAAAAAAAAAGGAAATGCTGACCTGAATGGAGATAGTGCCATCTTTGGGGTTTGGTTTTGTCTAATGAGATTGACTAATGGCACTGGAAGGGACTTAGGGGTCATTTAAATACAATATCCTCATTTTATAGATGACAGACTGTCATATATGTTGCTTAAGACCAAACAGACAGAGGCTGGAATTAAACGTACACTTTGGTTGATAACCTATTTAGAGAAGCCATAGGAAATGACAAGGTTTGTCAGTTAATCAAATACCTGTTGAGCTTGCACGTTGTGGAAAGGACTGTGATTAGTGAGGTGAAGTGCCGTGAAGAAAAGAGTCTCTGACTTTAGGAACAATACTGCTGATTTGAAGAAGTAATTATTAGCAGTGTCAAATTACAGTACAGTACCGGCATACCTTGTTTTATGGTGCTTCACAAATATGGTGGTTTTTGTTTTTGTGTGTTTTTTTACACATTGAAGGTTTGTGGCAACTTTGTGTTGGGCAAGTCCATTGGCACCATTTTTCCAACAGCATTTGCTCACTTTGTGTCTTTGTGTCACTTTTTGGTAATTCTCAGAATACTTCAAACTTTTCATTATTATACTTGTTTTGGTGATCTGTAGTCAGTGAATATGACTTGCTAAAAGCTCAGATGATAAGCATTTTTTGGGTAAGGTATTTTTTTTTAAAGATTTTATTTTTTTAATTAAAGTATGTACATTGTTTCTTTTTTGAGAGAGAGAGCCTGGGCAGAGGAAGAGAGAGAGAGACTCTTAAGCAGGCTCCGTGTACCTGAGCCAAAAACAAGAGTCGGAAGCTTAACCAACTGAGCCACCCAGGTGCCCCTCTACATTGTTTCTTTAGACATAATACCATTGCACACTTAATAGGCTATGGTGTAGTATGAACATAACTTACGTATGCACTGGGAAACCAAAAAATCTTTTGACTGGTTTTATTGTGATACTTTATTGCAGTGGTCTAGAACTGGACCCACAATAGCTCTGAGGTATGCCTGTATAAGAAATAGCACCTAATAATGAGTGCACTACCGCTGTAGCATATGGTACAAATAGAAGTGTGTTTATTTTACAGATGTAGGAATAAAAGCTCTGAGAATGGTGGACTCTGCGGAAAAGAGGAGTTTGTTTCTGGAGCAGCTCATGGCTCTAGAACTTGAGGATGGTGAGAATCTTTGGTGTTGCCCTCTTCAGTTGTCCATGCAGGGCATCGGAGAATCTAAGACCCAGAATCTTTAAATGGCAGTGCTGCAATAATGAGGAAGTCATAGATTAATTAGAGACCGTTAGGGTGTTTAGAGATGGTTAGCCAGGGGTAGATCATTTTGACTAGTTATCTTAAAAGGTTTAATACAGAGGTGAAATCAGAATAAAACTGACTTGTGAGTAGACTTATAAAATCCAAAATCTGGGGGGAAATGGAGCCTAGAACAAAATCAGAAAGCAAAATAACTGTGGAACAGACAGCTGGACTACAATACGTATGCTGAGTGTGTGTATATAAGAGGAAAAGGTTAATAATAGAATTTATGGGCTGACCCATTTATTTGTAAATTTTTAGTCTTCTGTAGCCTTTTTGGACTAAAATCCCTGTTAGCATAAGGAGAACGCTTGTTCTTTCTCCCTCTACTTTATTGTGTCCATATTTTTTTTTGATAGGGCTTTTCCTCGAGATGGATCTATTAGGGATATGCAGTAGGAGATGACTTAGGGGCCACTGCTGGGAGTAGGTAAAACATGATACTCCTTTCTAATTACTCCCAGTTAATGCTTCACGAGAATTGGGGTGGACGGTGCACTGCACAGGGCAGCGGTCCTTGGCTTCTCCTTGCCTTTTGAGCCAGTTTTTTCTTTCTTTTTTTTTTTTTTTGAGCCAGTTTTTTCTTAAGAAAAAAATACGTGGAACCCCCCCACACTCCAGGTCTCCTAATAATCTCTGGCACAAGTTAGTTTTTAAAAACTCTTAATGTAACAGAGCTTTGCAACAATATGCAAAGCAGTAATTGATACTTGAGCATCTTTTGTGGAAGTACATTTTTATAGCTTCCCAATTTGGTCAGATATGCACATTTTATAGTATCAGTGAGTTGGATTACAGTTTTGATTTGGAAAAAAATCACAATTTAGTAAAAGGCTGGTAGGTTGAAATTTAGTATATGTGCTGCCGAAGCGAGCACAGGTGGGTTGAAATTTAGACCTAGTTAAACTATTTTAGTTTAAAAGTACTTTTTAAATACTTTGCATTGCTTATTTTCAGTGGCTCCAGTGACTGACTCAGGTATTTAGACGTTCAAAATCATTGTATTTTCATTTTTAGTCCAGAGATAAGAGGAATGGGACATCTTCTTTGTGCATTTGTACTCCACAAGATTTAAAAGCAAGTTCTTTAGTATACCAGTTTGCCACAGGTACTTGACTTATTGGTAATATTTGGTGCCTGCATCATGAAGAAATTGTTCTCAGTTTGTATCATTTTTATCATAGAAGAACTTTAAAATCAATTTGCTCTCTGGAGGAAAGCATTTTACATCACTATTTTTTTTTCTTCTCCTCTAACTGTGCAGTATATTTTGATAGTGTAGCATGAGTACCTGCAGTCCCTTGTTTTAATATTAAAAAAAAATTCAATTTTTATAAGAAAAATATTTTGAGAAAGAAATGTCTCTTATTCGCGAAATAATGACAATTTTGCTTTTTATCACTTGGTCTCTGCGTTGATTTATTTTTTAAATCCCAGTTTAGATAGGAAAAAAATGAAGTGTGAGAGAAATAAGGAAAGATCCTTTATTTGCTGTAGCAGAAATGTTTAGTTGTATGGGTTTTGGTCATGGCTAAATAAGGTGAATTTCAACTTTGCAGTACATGACAGACAGGAAGTTCATCTTTGTATACTTCGTATTTAGACATTCGGTTACATTAATGCTCAGTCTTAGTGAGGAACAGTCTAATAACTCCTAAGAACATCAGGGTTACTTAGTTGTGCCCATACTTGTCCACTCTTCAGTGTCTCCGAGGAAGTATTCATCTTTTCCAGAGCTGATGGAATCTGTGGCCAGAAAATGTTAGGTGGTGATCTTTTTATTCTTTTTGACAGATCGGCTATCTAAAATTTTATTCTCAAGTAATCACGGTATCTTTCTTTTCATGTAACAGATGTTTATAATTTGAATGAAAATGTGCAGCTGTTTCCAGGAACCTTGGGTTATGGGATCCAACTTTTTTTTTTAAATCTTCGTTGCCCTCTCGTGTTTCAACGCTGTATTACATCAGTTGGCTAAGACCTAGCCATTGTGACCTCCTTAAGTATTAGATATTTTTACATGTTAGAGAATGTTGTTTTAATTTGTATGGAGGTGGATTATTTCACTGGATGTTACTTTTCTGAAGATTAGGTCAGTTTCATAGTGCAGAAAGTCACTGTATTGCTGTGTTCTGACTTCTGATCTAAAGAATTGACTCATCTATCTCTCTGTCTTATTTGAAGTACAGTGCTAATATTTAATTTGCATATAATGAATCATTGAAACTGAGAAAATGCCTAATTGAAAACATAATTATTTTTCAAATATCTGTCAAGTTCCATTCATATTGAAATAACTTGAGATCTTATGACTGACATGGAAAAAAACCGAGTGAATCATGGTTTTAATAAGTTGATATTCTGAAGCCTGAATTCCAATTTCAGAATCGTTTTATACTTCTTATTAAAACTAAGAATCATCCCTGAAATGACTTCAGGGTGCATCTCAAAGGTACAGATAATTTCAAAGCAAGTGATTTTTTTTTTTTTTAAGGCATTCCAAAGGTTGTCAGAGGTTCTTGCCCCACTGTAACTGTAGAATTGACATTAACTGTAGTGGAAAATACCATGCAGGTATGCTTAAATATGTAATTATCATCAGTATCATCAATTTGAGTACATCCTTAGCACTCAGAGCAAGAACAATAAGTCTCTCTCTCTCTTTTTTTTTTTTTTGCTAATGTGTGTATCTCCTTAAAGCATAAAATCCCCACTAGTTTCTGCTTCATGATCGGAGATACTGAGAAAACTAAAAATCTTAAGCCAAAATTAAATATTTTCAGAAATCCTTTTGTTTGTATAAATTGTGTATCCAGTTGATGAGTCGAATGGCCAGGTTGGGGTAGAGAAAAAAAGCACTGGGCTTGATCATTGTGGATTTGAGCCCAGGTTTACCATAACTTAGGGCATGATCTCAGGTAAATCACCTAACCTCTTAGGTTTTTATTTTCTGTCTGTAAAATGGGCTAATGATATCTAATCTATTTCTAGAATCCTTTGGTGATAAATTAATGAATAATTCATGGACAGCCCCATATGGGTTCTTGTGAAAACCAAATGAGAATGCACATGGGAAATTGTTTAATGTTAGGCACACACGTGAAGTAGTATGGCTATATGGTTATGTTTGTGAGCACTTTGAGGGTGAAGGGCCATGTCTTAGCTTCATTGGCTGAACATCTAGAAGAGAACTTGGAACAGAGTAGTTCCTCAGTAAGTATTTATTGCATGGGTGGTTGAGGTCAGGGAGATAAAGTCAGTGAATCCATGCATGGAAGAAGTATCACTGTAACAGCTGGGAAGCTTACTGCGTATTTGATCAGAGTGAAAGCTTAATCACATGGTTGCTCGTCATTAACATGCATTCATCTTCTGTCCATTTTTCGTTTTAATATGATTCAACTGGGCCTTTATTGTTTCAGTCTCAACACTTGCTGGGCCACGACCTTACTTTTTCTTCGCTTCCCCACATCTCGAACCAGAAGGGGATCTTTTAGTTCTTCACTCCATGAGGAGCCTTCGGAGGGAGTTGTGCAACCACCCAGAAAGGATGGTGCTGGCCGACAGCGTGACTGACAGGCTGCCCTGGCTCAGTTATCACAGTGCTGATGCTGTCCATTCTAAAGGTACAGTACTGTGATAACTGAAGGATGGCAGCCATCTTGCCTTCCATCAAAGGAGTCCTATCATGCCCAGGAAGGAAGACTGAAGATGAAGCGGGCATGTGAAACAGTGGTGGGGACCCAGAAACCCGCTTGCCTTGTTCCTGTATTGTACCTCTCCTGGAACATAGGGTATGTTATTCCCTCAGTCTTTGTCTTGTTTTGTAACATGGCGGGGCTAAGGAGGAGTTGGGTAGTTGCTTGCATGGCAGGGTGAAGATGGTTGCACTGAGTGGACATGTATTAAGATCTTTAGAACTTTTGGGCGCCTGGGTGGCTCAGTTGGTTAAGCAACTGCCTTCAGCTGAGGTCATGATCCTGGAGTGCCGGGATCGAGTCCCACATCGGGCTCCCTGCTCAGCAGGGAGTCTGCTTCTCCCTCTGACCCTCTTCCCTCTCGTGCTCTCTGGCTCTCATTCTCTCTCTCTCAAATAGATAAAATCTTTAAAAAAAAAAAAAAGATCTTTAGAACTTTTAAGATTCTGGTGCTAGATAAGTGCTAAGTGTGAATCAGTATTTCTGAAGAGGTATTCAGAGAAATCTGTGCCCTTTTTTTTTTTTTTTTAAATTTTATGTTTGAGTCATCTCTACACCCAATGTGGGGCTTGAGCTCAACCCTTAGATCAAGAGTCACATGCCTCACCCACTAAACCAGCCAGGTGCCCCCCCTCCTTTTTTTTTTTTTTCCCCTTTTAGGGTAAAAAGGTGTTTTTATTAAAGTACAGGGGCAGGAAGAGCTGCATGGGGACTGTGAGGAGCAGTTGATTTGCCATTTTTATAAATAAGGGGTAACGTGATTAGCTAGATACTTGTCAACATTAGATGTGCAAAATGAAATTTGACTTAAACAGGGAGGAAAAAAAGCCCTACATGTTGAACAACATTGATGATATTGCATGAGTAAAATTGTATCTTTGTGCTTAAGGAATGGATAGGACACATCATGTTTCAGGAATATAAAAAATAATTTAGAATCTAGTCTAATTCAAAAAATATTTGCTGAATGCCCATGTTATCGTTGCTGTCATCTTTACATGAAAATAAAATGTAAATAATTTTATTTCTATCAAGAATTGAGGACCACTCTGAAGTAACATCTAAAACAAATTGATTTCAGGGAGATAAATCTATGAATACCAATCCAGCATCAGGTTTGCCTAAAAGACTAGGAAATTTAACAGCGTGCATCTTTAGCCTGCATCCCACACTAGAGAGTACTGTTTGGTTTGGGGTGGGGTTCTAAAAGAACCCAGGGTTTCCCATATCCTTCCAAGACCTCTAGGGAAGCTGTATACATGGATCAGCAGCAGACAAGAATCAAAGTACATGAACTTAACTACGTGTTAGCTCACAGTCTGCTGCAAAGCTCACATAATCTTATATAGCTTAGGCTCAGTGCATTAAACAGAGATCTCTTACCTCTTCCCAGATTCATGTCAATATTTGGGAATTTGACTATCCTCTGGATAGATGACTGGTGTGGGAACCCAAAGCAATGACCCATATTCTTGGGCTAAGAGATGACAGAGCCTGCTGAGGTCAGGGTGTGCCTACCACAGGGTGAGAGGATCCAGGGAAGGAAAAGCCATATGTGTGACCTTTTAGTGTACAGAGACCTTACCTGCTAATCAGTGCAGCCCAGTTAATATCTTGGACTTGGGCCAAGTGTATTATCACGTCCTTCACTGAGACAGAATGAGGAAAAAGGGGAACCAGAGGTGTGAACAGAGAGGCGAAGCTTTGCCTTCCCATTCAGAGAGGGTCAGTTTCACCCTTCATTGTGTGATCCTCAGACATTCCTGGTCATTGCATTCCTTTGCCTGTTCACATAATTCTCTTTAACCCCTCTTCTCTCCTGAACAGGGACCATTCCCTTGGGCCATACCTGCTTGGCTTTGAATTGTTTTTCACATGGCATTGACCACATTATGGCCCAGTACTTTCACATGTCATCATACATTCAGAGTTTCTCTAAACGTCGGGCTAGATGATGTTTTTGATTACTTATAGGGAGCTGTATATTACACTATCGGTCCTGAAATTCCTTGGGAGTTTTCTGCCTTAACCAGAAAGGGAATTTCTGACAGAAACCCTGGAAGAACTTCTAAGAAAGGAAAGTTCTGGGATTGGTGAATTTTCAAGTAACTTGAAGCATTCCTAATTTTTAGTGTTATAGCAGGTGGAAAAAAGTGCTTCAGGGAGCGATGTGTTGTGCAATCATTGGCCTTGGTGAGGATTTCACCACCACCTTTGATCTTCCTGTTTTCCCGTTACTAGTTTTATAAAAATTCAGGTTTCATACACCAGATTCTGATGCCAGGATCCACAGCCGAGCCTGTGGGATGCTGTAGAGCGAATGTTGGGTGTAGTTTGGAATCACCCCGGCACTTCTGCAGATGGAGCTATACTGGATCCTGTTTCCTGTCAACAGGAAAGCCCGAGGCTTGGTCTGTGGCAAGAGCTCTGGAAGGCTTGCCTAGGCCTGGAGGTCTTTGGCATCTTCAAGGCAGTTCATAGATGTAAGGTGTTCCAACAGGTTAAGTGAGAAGTGATGCAAGGAAAAATCTGATGGGGTTTTTCCACTGCTTTGATTAAAACAAACACAATGTGTCTGGTTGGTGTATTCATTGCATTCTTCATTTAGGTATGTAAGAATAGAAATACTGTATGATCCAGCATCCCATTCCACTTCCAGTTATATACCCAAACGAAGGGATTCAAACAGATATTTGTACACCCAGGTTCACAGCAGCATTATTTACTGTAGTCCAAAGGTAGAAGCAATGATGGACAAATGGATAAATAGAAGGTGTATGGATACAATGGAATATTCAGCTTTAAAAAAGAAAATGCAGACACGTGCTACAACATGGATGGATGGACCTTGATGATAGCTAAGTGAAATGAGCTAGACACAAAAAGATAACTATTGTGTGACTCCTCTGGTATGAGGTTGCTAGAGTAGTCAAATTCCTAATGCCAGAAAGTAGAGTGGTTGTTGCCCAGGACTGGTGGTGGTGGTGGGGGGAGCAGTTCATGTTCGATGGGGACAGAGTTATTGGGGAAGATGAAAAAATGAAAATGGATGGTGCCGGTTGCACAACAGTGTGAATACTTCATGCCACAGAACTACACACTTAAGAATAGTTAAAATATACATTTTATGTATATTTTACCACAATTAAAAAAAAAAGGCGCTTTAGGGTAAAAGCACTGTTGCAGCCCACAACAGGAGTGAGTGGATTGCTTTCTTCCTTAGTCTTTAGTGTGAAGATAACAGTTTCAAATAAGAATTTAAAATGTTAAAATGTAATTTTCATGTCTTTTTGCATTTAAACTTTTCTAGTCTGTAGACGTATTTCCAGGGTTTCTGACATAACATAGTTATAAAATTTTGTAAAATATAAAGAAACTGAAGCCTACAGTGAGTACTAAAAAAATGGGAAAAGGGCCTCAACAGGTAGTGAGGTGATGGGGCACTTCTTGCTTTACGCTGTATCTCTGGAAATCAGGGTGGCTCACTGGGTCTCTCCACGCTCTAGTTGCCTCATTTGCCCACTTCTTTGGAACTGTGGTAAAGATGAAATTGTATTATCTCATATATATATGCACATGTACTATGTATCATGAGATATATACACACAGCTAGCTCTGTGTACATATGTGACCATTTTATGACTAAAGGAAAATTTAAGTGTGGCATATTCTCAAAATGTAGAAATAACAATGTCTGAAAAGAATAGCTCCAGTATCTCTAAATAAATCAAACTTTTTTATTTTTTTTATTAAAGATTTTATTTATTTATTTGACAGAGAGAGACATAGCGAGAGCAGGAACACAAGCAGGGGGAGTGGGAGAGGGAGAAGCAGGCTTCCCACAGAGCAGGGAGCCTGATGTCGGGCTCGATCCCAGGATCCTGGGATCATGACCTGAGCTGAAGGCAGACATTTAACGATTGAGCCACCTAGGCGCCCAATAAATCAAACTTTTAGACGTCCTAATTGGACTTGTAACTCAAATAGGACCAGCCTCATTAGAAGGAGTGTTTTAGGCTTGCTGTTGATCATGAAAGAGTTCTATTTGTTACTACATGTCTACATTTGAAAATAAGTAAAATCATAGAGACAAGAAATAGGCAGCAATAATCTTCTCTCGGGGATCATGTTTTATCAGCCATGAGTAAAAAGCATTTGTAGACCCTATCTACTTCATCACAAAGCTCTTACTTGGGGCCATGCTTTGGAAATCAGATTGTAGTTGTAGGAACTGCCCCCACCCAGATCCCATGCAGTATTCTGCCTTGATCATACCATGCAAAGTTGGAGCCAGGGTGGTGAGCTCTTGACCCAGCCACACCAGTTTCAAATATTTTGCTATACCTCCTTCTGAATAACCAGGCAATTATAAATGTGTCATTATTAAATGGATTTATTTTTTCCAGATCAATTGATTTTTGAGACAGCAAGTCTCCCTTTGTGTTTCTGTGCTTCTGATTTTTCCTCCTAGAAATTGCTTCCTTAAAACTCTGCATTCATATTTACATAACCTATCCCTGTCTTACAGTTCATTTTCACATTACCTGTTCAGTTAATCTTGTACCACACAAAATCTCATTAAGCATGAGCAAGAGTAAGGGAGACGCCTCCAAAACATGATGATTGTGAAGATTCCCATTGACAGTGCGAAGTATGACAATGTGCCTGGAACATTCCCAGCTGGAGTTCTTTAAGTTGTTTGAACGGGTTTGGGATTGTAATACATGCTTCTGATGTGATATATGTTAAGACAGTTCATGTAATAGAAATGGAGTAAGCTTATTATATTTTTATGCATTTGGACTACTACTGTACTTTGTTTTCCATGAGATTATGAGAAGATGGGTGGTGCTGTTAAGAAAATGGGAAGATGTGGAGAACAGTTCCAATTTAGTGGGAAACTCGTTTTCATTTTCTGCTCTTTGTAAATCGAATTCCAGATATATTACCTATATTAGACTCCCATTGCTTCATTTTTTTTTCCACTTTGAAAATGAGTACCTTCAGACTGGGAATATTTTTGGGTCAGTGGGGGTAGCTGCCTAGAGCACTTCGTTGAGACTCCTGAGGCTACATCTGGTCCACAGGAAGGAGTGCTGTACCCACCCATCCATGTCTTACCAGTGTCTGCCGTGGGCATCAGATTGAGAAGTGGTGATACCTTTGCTCAGCCCTTTGTAGATAACATACTATTTTTACTGTAGAGGTTTAGATCCTCTGGGAAGATGGAAATTCTCAAAGTCACATTGATGAAGACTAGATTTCTGGGAAGCTATGTCATTGGGAATATAGACACCCTTTTTTTTATGGGGAAGATGTCAAGGAGTTTAAAATGTCTGCCAATAAAATGTCCAGACATAAATCTACGTTTTAGTATCACTGATACCTGTTAAAAAAATTCTGACTCACCTAGCAAGTCTTAAATTATTCTGATATCCAATCCTAATATCATAAAATGTGCCACTCTTTAGTAAATGCATTTTGGACAATCTCTTGTGTAATTTACAGAATTTTGTTTAAGCAGTTGGATCAAATAGAAGACACCTTCCTTTTTACCTTTTTTGCTTAAGATGAATCCATGTTTGTTGAGCACCCAGGTGCTCATTTCACCCTAATGCAAATCTTCTAAGTGAGGAACCTGAGGAGGCTCGGCTCATGGCGGTCCCTAAGCCACACAGCTAGCCAAGTGGTAAGAGGGAGGGTCGGAGTCCAGAACAGGAAAAGTATAGGAAATTAAGTTAATACTGATGGCTTTCTTTACTGATGGCTTTCTTTACTCTGGGGACCAAGACTATTGTCCTTAACGTACCTGGAGGTCCTGGGCAGCTGGCTCTCACCTACCTCTCTGATTTCATCTTTTGCACCCAGTTGACTCGCTCACCCTTTGGGGAATGAAGTCTCTTGCCTTAGGTGCGTTTTCTTCTGCCTGGGATGCCCTTGCTGTTCACTCCATCTGGTTGTTTCTTAGCCTCTGGTTAAATAGTAATTTCTCAGAGACTCGACACCAACTATGTCCAGTCTTGTGGCACTCTGCTTTTTCTTCAGAGAGCTTGTCACAATTAATGGATGTGTGTGGGGTTATGTGTATTTGATGTCTCCTTAGACTGGGAGTTCCTTGAGGACAAGGACCATGTTTCTATCCATTGCTGTTCACAGAGCCTGCAGTGTGGCTTGCAGTAGAAATCTAAGGCAGTGTGAGGTGCTGAGTGGAGTCTTCCCTGTTTTCTAAGAAGAGGTGAGAAGAGCTCACAGCTAAAAACAAGGTCTTGAAAATCCTCACTTTTGACATTTAGGTACTTAATCCATTTTGATTTTGTGTGTATGGTGTTAGAAAGTGGTCCACTTTCATTCTTTTACTTGTAGTCCACTTTTCCAACTCATGTAACAATGTGTAACTACACTAAAACAAAAAAATAAAATAAAAAAATTCAGGCTTACAAAAAAAAACCCCACTTTTCTCTGGTCAGAGGCCTGCAGCTCTGTGGCCAGCATTTTCCTGCAGACCTTTTTCAAAGGGTTATTTCAGTAGAACCAATTCTTTAATTGCATTCATCCCTCACACACAAGTAAAAGGGCTGGAAGAGGGAGAGATGTCAACTTTGGGGGGAACCTCCCTCAGAGAAGGGTGCATTCAACTTGGAGATCATCTTTTGTCTGAAAATCGGTGAGCATTATCCCAGAAAGAGGCTCTCATGCCCAGACTCTGCAAAGCTAAGAGGAGTGGAGAGAGGAAAGGACGAATTGAGTGGGACACAGATGGGAGGTTTCTTGGACACTGGTCTGAAGTGAATCCATAGAAAATGGCTGGGGACTTAAGCTTTCTGGCTAGTGCCCAACAGGAGAGCACTCCGCACGACCCCTGCAGGGAACCCTGGCTATGCCTCTCAGCAAAGAGGTCACAGATGTGCCCTCCCAGGAGTGGGCCAGGATATGGAGGGTATCCCAAAGTGCAGGCCTCTAGCCAGGCAGAAAACACCCCCACCAAGGGTTGTGGCGGGGTGGGGGTGGGGCATCTCCGGATTCTCTTCTGAACTTGACGAAGAGGCAAGCCAGCATTCTGATGGAGCTTTTTTGAAAGCTGTCATTTCCTCAGAACCAGCTCTCACATTCACTGAGGACAGTCATGAAAGGAAGCAACCAAAGAATCAGCTCATGGAGAAGGTGAGGTGTGCAGGTGGGAGAGAAACCACCTCACTCCTCCACCCCATACCCCTAGAGCATCAAGACCTGCCTCAGCTGGAGAGAGCTACAGAGCCTACTGAATCTGAGGGTAAAGTTACCAAACAAAACACATAGCTGCTTGGGTCGGGAGGCCAGTTGGAGATGTTCTTACTACTCAAGAGGAAAGGGGAGGTTATACAGAGCCCAAAAGAGGTCATTGGAAATAATTTCATGTTTTATTCTTCAACAGAGTTGCAATTCACAAGATAAAATGATTCATTAAAAGAACAAAAGGACTATAAAATCCCCTCTTGCACAGAAGGCTGCCTGTCAGTATTCCTTTCCTACAGAGTCCCTCACCTGCTGCTTCTAGCACGTGAAGGAGTGGAAATACCCGTGCAATCCAACCACTTTCAGTGGCCTGTGGGCTCCCACTACTGCTCCTTCTCCCTTCTCCAGAATTTAGCCAGACAGCAGAATCCAGTAAGGAAATTTGTTCACAATCATCTGTCACATTTGCCTGAAGGAAACTTGCGGGAGGGCAGATAGGAGTTTTCCAGGGCTGCCTCTAGGTTACCTTTCAGGGGTGTGAGTCCAAGACCAATAGATTCACTAAGAATATCCCAGTGTAGGTTGGGGGTGGGGGTGGGTTGGTGAAATAGATAAAGGGGATTAAGTACACATATCTTGACAAACACTTAAGAAATGTATGGAGTGGTTGAATCATTATGTTGTAAACCTGAAGCTAATATAAATGTAATTATATTTGAATTAAAAAAAAAATCTTTTAAAGAGTATCCCAATGTAGAATCAGCTGGCTTCAACAAAAGCAACAAAAACTTTTCCATGCACCTGACTTTTAATGTCTGCTCTCTGGAAATCAAGTTGTAAATGACTGACCAACCTACTTGTTAGCCCTATCATTGAGGAGAGGAACTGTAGAGATCATTCTCTCTAGCATTTTTCAAGCTGTGGGTTTGAAATCAAATATGTCTTGAGCAGCATTTTTTAAAAAATAGAAAATAATCAGAACGCATAGCATGTGGTAAGGGTAATACTACTTCATGAAACTTTGCAGTTGCCTGCTTGAGTGTATGTTGGTGGGTTGGTGTACTGGGACATAACGCATTAAATTCACAAGTCACTGATTTAGATGGTAGATTCTAAATCTCATTGGGTATTTTACATTTTGGAACTAATGCTCCGCATGGTGAAGACACTTGTCCGAGGTCAGTAGCAACAGGGTAGGAACTCATCCGTCTCAGTCTTCCGGTTAATGTGTCCCTTCATCTCACGGGCCTGGGGAGAAGAGCAGTAGCTCATATTCAGTGAGTGATTACTAGGTGTCAACCACTGCACTTAAATATTTTGTAGGGCAAGGGGGTAAGTTGGCTTTGTGTTTCATTTCAAGTGAAGTGTGCATGGCTCACTGGTGACCAATCAGTGCTGCAGTCCACAGCTAGATAAAATACAGAAGTTGTGAATAAACATTGAAAATTTTCACAGTGTGGCAGAGTAATTTTATGACTGTTGAATCTAGTAATAAAACATTGGCTTGCACTTCATGTCTTTAAATTTTTTCCTAGCAGTTAATTTTTATTGTATTTTGTGAAAATTATCAGTCTGTGATGGATTGGAAATAACAAACTGGTCTTTCACCACAGATTATTTGAGAAGCACTGACTGAGACCCAGCAAAGCCCACACCTTTGTCCCTCTTTATTCCTTTTGAAGTGTCAGAGGGTCACAGCAACCCCTGGAAGGGGCAGATTGCTGGATGCAAGGCTCCCATAAGCAGAGAAGGGTTACTGTGCTATCTAGGAGTGAGTGCAGGACTTCGATTCTAGAAATAGCCTTCTCATCTTGGGGATGGCTAGTAGAAAAGGCCTTAACACCAATAAACACTTCAAAGCTTTCCTTTACGTCAGAACTTGTGGAAGTGGGACTGATAGGGGAAAACAGAAAGAGCTCCTTCCTTGTAAAGTGCCCATGAGAAAAAGTTCAACACAGAACAAATTAAATTCTCATTTCCCAAGACTCTCAGTCAGAGTGGTAAGAAGCAGAGGGAGGATGCTACAGAGATCTCTGGGAAAATAGGGCTGATTAAAGGGAGCCTGTGTGTCTCCTTGACTTGCAGGCTCTGCAGAGGGAGGCACACTTCATAAATCCTTTTGGACTGCTTTTTGGCTAAATCCTCAGATTTGTATGAAGAACTGTTTTGAGTGAATCAGTGTGTCTTTTGTTTGCATCTTCTGGAATTCTGAAGACTGCAGCCAAGGAGTTAGCAAGGCTGAGAACTGGACTGAACATTTAATCAGTTGAACGCTTCCTTATGTTTTCCTGGTTTATTCTCATAACAAGTGACCTTAGGCCAATTCCTAGCAACACGTGATTGTGGGTTGTTGCCTCCTGAGGAGTATAGCCTTGTTTTTTCATTCTGAACACAGTGAAAATCTGAAAATTCAGTTGAGTTTGGACAATGGTAATGTAAGCTAACTGTACCTGCTGTGTGCCCAGCACTTTACCTATGTGTTTACTAAATGTTAACAATAGCCCTGGTCAGATCTCGGGGAAAAACTAAAGCTTAGAAAAGGTCACTCACCTGATGTAATTGCATTCAGGCCCCAGTTTTTGCATTCCTATATTTCCTAGAGATTCTTAACAGCACCCTTGCATAAATGAGGCAATGCCAGAACTCCAGAGTCATGACATTTTCATTGATTTTTCCACTTGAAAACAATATTGGGATCCACTCCCTTTTGGGTTTGATTTTGAATACATATCACCTATTCAGTGATTCAGGACAGGATGATGCATTTAACTGTAGGTCCTGCAAGCTCCGAAGTCTCCATGGTAATAATAGCTAACACTGAACCTATCCCCGCAGTAACTTTCATTGCATTAGCTTACTGAATCCTTTCTTAGAAACTGCCGCCATCTCTGCCCTGTCCCTGTCCCTGCTTAATTTTCTCATAGCACTTTTGCATAGTATGTTCATACTAATAGACTCTAGTTTACTTACCGTGTGTATTGCCATCTCCCCCAACCAGAATGTAAGCTCCGCAAGGGCTGTATGTCTTGTTAGCTCAGTGATGTAAGTTCCCAGCAAGTGGAATCAGGCCTGGTCCATAATTTGTGCTCAACTATCTGTTGAATGAATGAATGAACGAACGGTCCTTGGAGGTAAATATCACTATCATCCCCATTTTACGTGTATGCAAACTGAAGTTCGTAGTATTAACTAATGTGCTCAAATACAAAGCCGTTATTTCTTTACTTTGAAGTCCATTTTTAAACGTTAGTGGTTATAGTTTCCTTTCTCCACTGTATTGTTTCTGGAATGAGAAATTGAACATGAGAAAGAGGTTGGTTTGGCACTTCAGATACCCTCCTGAGAGGTGATAAGCCTTATGTGTTTGTGAAATATATAGATTGGGCCTTTCATGTAGCGTAGAAACTATAGCTAGTGTTGAGGTAAATAAGATGTCTTTCCCCTATATCCTCTTGCAGTGCCCCCAAGATTTATAATACACTGAAGGAACTGGGTTATATAAATGACTTGCTAATTCAAGGCTGCTTCTGTTGGAGCCGTCATGGGCTTCTCCTGAGATAGACTTGCAAGTTGTGAAGGACCTGGGGGATGTCCATTCCAGCTTACCCACCTCTGCCCCAGGAGCCTGGCTCTGGGACTCAGTCCTTCCTTCGCTGGCCAGCCCACTCCACTGCTAGACAGCTGCCTTGTCAGAAAATTCTTTGAATTGTATCCCCAAGTAACTTCGACCCAGTGGTCTGAGTTGTGCTCTCCAGGGAATGACAGAATAAATGAAGTCATCCTTTGACCTGTCAGTTCTTCAAACATTGGTTTGATTGTACCCACTCTTCAGTTTTTCTTGTCCCTGTCCTGCAGACATTTCTCACGTGGCATCTTTCCAGCCACTTTCCTGTCCTGCTTCCTCCCTTTGGCATGCTCTCCAGTTCATTCATGTCCAAGGTAAATGTGTCATGCAGTAGTCCAGGTGTGGCGTGAGGGTTCCATCCGTCCTTTCTTGGCAGCCACACTGCCCCGTTGGCTCATCCGCGCTCCGGAAGGCCTTTAGTGTGAACTATTGTGGATCTCAAGTGGGAAGAACATACTGCACAGATGGAACCAAGGATTAATGATGATTAAGAAAAATAATAGTGATGTCTGTGGACATTCTGTCCTTCACTTCTCTGTGCATACCTGCTGCCACACCCAAGGTAGTTATGAGGAGAGGCATTGACTGCACTCAGACTGTGTAAGACGATGTCTCAAGACATTTTACATTTACTACCTGTTTAATTTTCTGAACAGCCATATTCACAGCTATTATTGAACTCTGTGTTACACTGAGGAGACAGATTAGGAGAGATTAGTTAACACGGTTAAGATCACATAGCTTGTAACTGGTGGAGCAGGAATATGAATGTATGTTTGCCTCCAAATCCCATGTTTGATAAGGTGCATTCTCAGGAGCTACAAAGAGGATAAGCTTAGCTAGCCAAGGCTCCTGTTTTCATTATCTCTGAAAAACATGGAAAAGAAGGTATTTTAAAGGAGTTATGGTATCTTCCTATCCTTCAAAGAAAGAAAGGATCCAAATTACTGTGTTTCTACTCTGCACCAGCTATGCTGTATCTGTTTATCTCATTTAGTCTTCAGGACAATTCTGTGAGGAGAGCACTATTATCATGACCATTTTATAGGTGAGAAAACCATGACTCAGAGGAGATGAAGCTAGGCCTTTGTCACACAGCTACTTGCATTTAGAGCCAACACGCTTTATGCCCCATTATGCCACTTCTCAAAGAGGGTTTTCAACTCAACCCGAAGTGCCTCCCTCCCACAGGGTCTCTGGCTAGACTGTTACCCACCATGATAATCTCCCCTCTCCTGTGCAGCATTTCCCAAAGCACATAAGTAGAAACGAAAAGAACTCTCACCAAATTAGATGAGCGTTCATTCATTACTAAAGGCTTTCTATATGCATAGCTTTGGACCAAGGATCTGCTATGGAAGTATGGTAGGAAGCTGTCTGAAGTTACTAGAGCTCAGCTCAGATGGAGCCCATCATGCTACCTTGCTCTCCCATGGTATATGACCCCATCCATGAATTAATGGGAAGTGCAGTGGCTGCTGTCAAGACCTGATCATTTAGTGATGTTCACCTGAGGGCCACAGACCCATCAGCCTTCAGGTGGAATTTGTTTACTTGCCAAATCATAGGTCCAGAAACTTAGAGACCACCAGTAGGAATCTTGCCAAATCACATTACTATTCTTTGCATTTGCAAAGAATGTAAGTGTTCATAGAATATTTATTGCTTACATTATTCCATTTGTTCATCCCAACCAACTGGTAATATAGACCAGCAAGGGTTCATTGCTCTGTTTTGCAAATAAGGAATCAGAAACAGACTGAGACTTGCTCATAGCCTCTCAGTCTCTAAGAAGCAGAACCCAAATACAGTCTCTTCAAGCTGCAAATTCTATACATGTCCTCTGCTGTCTCTTTTCTTGTCACTCTTCTCTTGCACTGTCTGCCAGACTGCGTGTACATCTTTGCCCTTGCTGTTGACCCCGTTGGCTGTGAGCAGTCAAAAGCTCAGAAAGAACTGAGCTGTACCTAGCTGGAATTGCTCTTTTCTCAGGCTTCACTTCCCAAGCCATCTGGTCACCCTGCCTTTCCACAAACCAGATGCAACGGTTTGTAGGTTGTCATCAATCTTCATTGTCACCTGCAAGTCCAGTTGACCCTGCAACACTAAGCTGCTGTAAACATTCTTTTTCCCCAGGCAAGTACCTGTGTATCAATCTTAATGTCACACTAACCATTCAAAAAACTTAAAACTTGGCTTAATTTCTCTGGGGTAGACAGTGAGTTGAGAAGTTGCTCTGGAAGCCAGGCCTTTCCTGTGGGTTGGCTCATTGAAGAACATCTGATCTAAAACTCGCTCTACTTTGGCCCTGGGTAGAAGGAACAATGTCCACACCACCCAGCTAAGAGTCAAAGTCTGTTGACCACCACCCCCACCCCTGTCCCCATCTCTCCCTGGCAACCACTTATCTAGCCTCCTTGTCTAAAATGTCATCATTTCAAAAATGTTATATGAATGGCATCATATAGTATGTAACCTTTTGGAATTGCCTTTTTTTCTACTCAGCATAATTCCCCAGAGATTCATCCAAGTTGTGTTACAGGTTTTTGTTTTTATTATCTAAAAACATACATTAAAATTTTTTTATTTAGTTTTAATTTTTTAAAACTTTCAGTTAAGTTTTTTTGTTTTGTTTTGTTTTTAGTTAACTAAAATCTGTAGCCAGAGTTTCAGAGGCTAGCTGTCCCACTTCCTAGCCAGGGGACTTCTGGATTGCTTAATCTTCCGGCAATTTCATGTCCTTACCTTTACAATGAACATAATAATTAGAACTTTATATTTGATTTTTGAAAGTTTCAAAGAGGAGAAGCATCCAAATTCCCTTCATTAATAGAGTTGTATTACATTGATGTGAGGCAATGTCCTCTTTAGCCACAGTAACTCC